GTTTAAGGTTATGTCAGAGAGAATAGAAAGTTAGAGGCCCGACTCGATGCTAGGTAATTGAAACAGATGCGCTCGCAGCGCGCTCGCTGGCAACGTACGCAACTACTATTTTCTATTGTTTTCCGGAGACTAGCGGCGGGTATGTTGCTGCCGGACCACCTTCACGTAGGCAATTTGTTGTACATCGTCCGTCCGCAATACTCTCGCTTGGCCGTATGAAAACGTTCCTCGCATGCGCAGTGTTAAAGAAGCGCCCTCCAACGCTTTGGCGTTGGAACTGCTTGTTTTTTTTTTGCCGCAACGTATGTCTCCGTATCATGTAGAAATATTGCTGATTGAGACAACGACCAAATCTCGTTTAGACAAGGGAGCTTTCACGGCAACACAATTAAAATTCTACTCCGCACCAGGATTCGCTACTTACCTCGACGCATCCATGATTTTCCTCAACGAGACGTAAAACTCGATTTTCTTCGCTTGAATCAATCCAATTTTTCTCAGTTTGGATCGATTTATGCGTCTGTAACTAAATATTCACGTATCGTAAATCCTCTAAATTGCGTATTGCAACACGGCGGTGATTTTTCATCATGAGCCATAATAAGGAAGTCCTAATCTTCTTTCTCGCCGAGCAAACGGAGCCCTAGACTGCACTGTCTCTCGGAAATTAGTGCTTACGTGCCGGGAAATAAAAAATCCAGAGGAAAACACTCTATCCGGGAACTTGGAAACAAAATAAAAAGTTCTCAACTTCCCAGCTCAAACGGCTTATAAGTTGATGGGAAGGACTGGGAATAGGCGAAAGAATTAAGTCCTTTCGAGTCGCCCTAAGGAAAAACGACTTATGAGCAAGTGGAGGATGCCATACTTATTTTGGAGGGAATTTGTGTATACTTTTCTTTGAAATTCTTGAACAGGCCGCATTAAACTATGAAAAAAGTTCTGTGTGAACTTCTAAAGAATATAAACATGAAGTAGAGAGAGAGAGTTTGGTTTTTACGAGCAGAAATTTGGCCACATCTGCGGGTTCATGCGTCGTTTTTCCGTAGCATCGGAGAGGTACAAAGACCTCATTAAAGACTAACTTCTCCTAACGATGTTGAAATAATGCGATCCAAGCCGCCCATCGGAACGCTGAGGCCGACCAAAGCCTGGACCGGGCAGCGAATTAAAAGGGCCGCTAACGATTACGCCATCAGCGAGGGGCTCTTATCTTGAAAAATGTCTAAGTGAATTTAGCGCTCTCGAAATTAAAGTTTAGTGTTGTTGGTCGAAGGGAGTGGGAAAAAGTTGTTTCATATCGACTTCCAAGTCAAAATATTCCGTACGATGAAACTTTACCATAGAATCGGTACGTATTTTATTCTAAGTCTTGGAGGAAATGTTAGTTTTTCCAAAGGAAATCAGGAGAGAATAAGAGGAAACCCTGGGACTTCATCAGCACTGGAAAAAAACACATTGGATCTAGAGTCCGGACTCTTGAAAACATTGACAAGAAATAATACTCTGGATTCAATCAGATTTTTTCTTGAATCAAAACGAAATCCGCTTAAATTAAGAGGCTTGGTTCTTGTTTTAAGCTAGATTCTGATTGAATCAAGAGTACTTTTTCATGTCGATGTTTTTAAGAGTCCAATCTGTTTTTTTTTCCAGTGAGGGAATTTTTCCCTGGAAATTAGGAGTAGCAGGGACTGAAAAAATCACGACCACCCAAGAGATGGACACAAGCTACCTCTCATCCCAGAAAATGAATGAATATGCTCATGTCCTAATTTTTGACGATTTATCGTTAGGATAAGCGCCAATTATCATCAGTTTGTATCAATGTTATCAATTTCTATCCATTTTATTCCTTTGCCTGATACGATAGTAGCTGGACGAATAGAGCTTATGTCTTAGTCAAAGGAAGAAGAAAAAGAAAATCAAGCTTTCCAAGCACTATGCTCGAGAGTAACTGAGCAAGTGGAAATAAAACTCTTTGCCTCTTATGTTCCAGCCTGAAAATCTTCTATTAGCCAGTAAAGCCAAGGGCGCCGCTGTCAAATTAGCTGACTTCGGTTTGGCAATCGAAGTGACGGGCGATCAAATAGCATGGTTCGGTAAGTCATATTTTCTTATTTATTGAGACTTAACACGAAGGACCGCCTATTCATTTGAGACCGCAGGAAAATTATCGGAGATTATGGCCCTTTTGAAGGTATCTAGTGATGTGATCGCGGGTAAGGAACTGCTTACGATCCTATTTTATATATTCTGATTTCGATCGAAGGCAGGCAGAAATTGATCTAAATTAGAAACCGTTGTACTCAGGAAGTTTTTACGTCGTACAAGGTGACGATTCCCCTAAAAAATCAGTAAAACCTGCAAAAACCGTGGAAAGTCAGAGAATTCTTGCCTCAAAACTTTGCGGCTTCAGTTGAAGTAAAACATGTTGAAATCAAAGGAAACTTGTCAACCTGTAGCACAATTGTCTCGCAGTTCAATTCCATGTCTATGCCTCCCGAACTAGATTTTTCGTTAATTTGTTCGTCTCGTGCACTTATGCCTTAAAATTGGGAATTTATTCGTCCCTTGTGACGACACATCTGTTAAATACTGAGATTCCTTCTGATTTTTTCTTGAGAGGGGACGATATGAATAACTCAGAAATCCTTACTTTTTGGATGAACCTCGTTGGTAGTTTCTTTGCCTGTTCTTTTTACTTTGAATTTTCCATCAGATTTGGGTCCCCAATTTGATCAAAAATAATACCCCTCGATCAACTTAAAAAGGGCTAATTTTGTCACGTTTGCTTTATTCCATTCGTAGTAAATATTGCGAAAAGTCACTGAATTCAGCGTAATGCATTTAATCTCTGTTCGCAGGTTTTGCCGGAACTCCTGGTTACCTCTCACCAGAAGTTCTAAAAAAGGAACCTTATGGCAAACCCGTCGATATTTGGGCATGTGGTAAGTTAATTTTTCCTAATCCTCCATGTAGAATAAAGTAACGAACGTCTATAATAAAAAGAAACCAGATCACAATGATCAAGGCTTTTCCCCCATCTGTAATCCTTCCTGAAAGTGTTAACTCCTCAGAGAGAGATAAAATATTTCACGGACTCCGCACCAACAATCTCTGTGACCCACGCAACTGACCCATTGTGAAATTTAAATTTTATACATAAGACGAGAAAGCTGCAGAGTGGGGTCTCCAAATTATATATGTATTTTCTCTCTTCTCGAAGTGCTACGAGAAATTTTGAAAAAAATTCTCGTGTAAATTATTTCATTCTTTTCTAAATGCCCCTCCCCCTCGTTTTTCGAGAAATTGAGCTGAGTTTATGGGGGAAAGATTCCCCGGTAGAAGGACTGCAGACGCGATTTGAGGAACAGACAATGTTTCCCGGGCGCTGTGCGATGCTCGGTACTTAGGTGGCAGTAAAAATGTACGTTTCATTAACCCAGGAATTTTCATAATTCTAACCCATAACGGAGCTCCTTCCCTTTTGCTGTCTGCCGTCATGATTTGATCGTAAAGCATCTGCTACATTTACAGCATGCCGTCCAACAGTGGGCGAAAATTGAAGCATCGGGAGCCAAAATCTTGAATTTCTCACCACGTAAAAACACCATACGAGCATTCTGATGGCGTAAAATTTATTTTCCTTAAATTTTTTCTTGAAAATTCGTAAATTTTATCCATCAAAACTTTTGAATACTCCAGCCAGAATTGCGAAGCATTTTTTACCCTCGAAAATTTTGATAATTATTCAAAGAATTGTAGGTATACTTCGCGCTTTATGCACTCACATAATCCAGTGTTTCACGCATCGATGATGAAACTAGAAAAACGCGAAATGTCGTTTACGACTGTGTAAACTTTTTGCCATATTGTTTTAGAAATAATTTCCTATCGGTTTTCCCTCAACGTGAAGCATTTTCCAAAGTAGCTTTTTCCGTCCTTTTAATATTATCTTTCTTCTTCTTGCGTATCCTCTTTTATCTTTTTATAGTTCTTCTTATACCTATGATTCTCATTCTTCCTGTTCTTATTCACTTTCCTCACCCACTTTCTTTCCCTCTCTCCTGTTTTATTGCTCTGTCATCCCTCTTTCCGTATCTCTTCTTCTTTCCCTTTTTTCTCTCTAGTCTCCTGTTCATCTCCCTCCTCCCCATCCTCTATTTCTCCGCCTCCCTTTTCATTCTCCCCTTTCTCACCCTCCTTCTCTATCTTATCTTCTCTTTCTTCCAATCCCTGACTCTCTCTCTTCCTCTCCCTCTCTCGCTTCCGCTTTCTCTCCTTTTTCTCGCCAGTTTCCTATTTCCCTTCAACTTATTTTCCGTCTTCTGCCTCTGAAATATTCTGATCTTTTCACCGTTCGGTGTGTCATAAAAATACCCGAACGAACACGCTTAAGGTGCACATGTTTACAAATATTTTTAGTGGCTCCATCCATGCTTTGTAAGGGATCGCGCTTTCTTAAAATTACTTCTTCCAGAGGTTGCTTCCTCGTAAGTGTATCATGAACTGAGTGGCTTTCATTTTAACAGCACAAAGCACTCCTTTCTGGAGTTCTTTGAAGTGGAAAGAAATCGCTAAACTGTTACTCCCGCGAGCCCGACTAACCGGCGCAAATTGCTTTAACGCCGAAAATACGGTCTCTCTTCAAGCCTCCTCAAGCTCTCAGCATCCACGTGAAAGTTGTAACGGGCTTTTAGACAGGGAAAACCTCAAACCCAGCCATACATTGAAATTTTGGATCGACTGGAGGGAACTGTTCACAAATACTCGTATCTGAAATCGACTGCACTGCACTTTTGTCCAACTTCAATTTAATTCCGCAGTTTCCTTGCGTAGCAGTTGCGGAAAGTGTACACCGACGCAAAATTTGAAAACATTGGGATCAGAACACCAATTATCAAATATCTATTTAATGCTTGCTGACTTAACCAATGCATGAAACTTACGTCCAAATCAGCCGAGTCATTTGAAACTAGATTACGCTTTCTTCGAACTCAGGCTGATTTTAAATGAAAGTGGAGCGCCGCCGGCTTGTCCGGTCGTTTACCCCTTACGGAAAAAATTATGCTAACTTCCGATGTATTTTTTGGTAAGTTGGTGCCAGCCAGAGGTGTGGTCCCGAGTAGCAGAACCATACAGAAGGAAAAGATAAAGATTATGTACGAAAGTTAATACTTTGTACTCCTGGCTGGCGCCAACATCACCCAGGAATAAAGTTGAAATTATCATATCCTTTTTCCGCGTGATTTGCAGCATCAAACCCTTTACGTTCAAATTTTATCTGGATGATTTTACCTATGACGCATAGGACGAACCTGGCGAACAATGAACTTTATCGACTTTATTTCGGGAAATAAGTCTCTCGATATTAACTTGGGTGCTTTTGGTTTGTTTGCAGGTGTTATTCTGTATATTTTATTAGTTGGTTACCCGCCATTTTGGGACGAGGATCAGCACCGGCTGTACTCTCAAATAAAAAATGGAGCCTACGACGTGAGTATGAAAATCTAATTCCAAATCCAGCTGGCAAAAAGGGCACCATTCTACTCAATAAGTACAGCTTTCCGGTAGAATAATAGCCTTTACTGCTGTTTTGCCTGAAACAGTGTCAATTTTTGTGCTCTCACGGCAGATTTTTATACAGGTCGAACAAATTTTGCTGCTTTAGCTAAGCCGGTGAGTTCATCCAAATCAGATCGGGCGCATTATGAAGGAAAGGGGCAGGGGAAAGGGGTCAAAGGAATTTTGCAATTGATTGCTTTAGATAAAATCGCAATGATCGAGGAAGCCAATAGAATCTCAATTTCTTGCGATCATTTTCTCTCGGGTCATTACGATTACCCTGGACCTATGCCCGATAAGCATTATTATACGATGCAATATATTTTTCATCGCGATTTCTTCACCCGCCTAAATAATATTGCTAGTTCAAATTGAGCCGATTTGTTGCAGTATCCTTCGCCAGAGTGGGACACCGTAACACCAGAAGCAAAAAACCTCATCAATCAAATGCTAACAGTCAATCCCGCAAAGCGAATCACTGCCTTAGAAGCACTCAAACATCCTTGGATTTGTGTAAGTTTTCCAATTAAAAACGTAGTCTTTTCACTCACAAGAATTTTCTACGTGCTACCTAGTCCGAACGGATTTTCAATTTTCGTTTTTATCCTTTCCCTTCATCGATTTAAAAAGTAATTCAGTTATCGCGACTCAAAATACTAGATGGACCGATTTAAACTGACTGATGGACTGAAGTGAGGTCAAAAACGAATTCTAAGATCAAAATACCACGGGTATCTAAGTTTCAGTACGAAATACCAACCAGAACGAGTAAAATCTTTCTACTTTTCTGTATACATTTTTACCGAAAATTCGAAAAAACCTAAAATGTTGCATGTGCGCCCATTATATTTACAACAATAAGATCAAGAATGAATTCTTCGATCAAAATACCATGGTCATTAAGTTTCAACAAGAAATGCCAATCAGAACGAGTTATCTCTACCGTTGAGTAATTTTTCTTTTGATGTTCCAACAGAGAGTTTGAAAAAAAAATCCAAAAATTTGTTTTTGTGTCGATAAATTATCAAAATTAAGGTTAAAAATGAATTCTGCGATCCAAATACCAGGGGCTCACCAAGTTCTAGCACGCAATGCCCATCGGAACGACTGATGTATCCAAAACAAGTTGGGGAGGAAGGCGGTGCGCGGTGGCCGGGCATTCCTATTCTGCGCTCCACTGTCGCACCTCCGAAACTTCCCCGTCATTTCAAATCTTCCCGCCATATTTTGAATGCGCGCTCAAAGAATTTTGGCGCCAGCGTGATGCGCGCTGATTCGTCGATTCCGTGTTGAACTTCTAACCTAAAAGTTAAAATATGTGATAGAAAAAATAACAGATACCTGGCTCTGGAGTATTTCGATCGAAGGCTTATCATGAATATAATCCGTTCTTTTCTGTCTCGAGATAAATAATATTATATGTAAGTCACCTTAGTGCCTATATTTATTATCCATCACTGTCAGTGGTGACCGTTGTTCAGTGACAAACTTTGGTCCATCAGTTCCTCTGCACGTCAAGGTACTCAAAATCCTCACAACTTCAGTTAAAATATTTCATTCAACGTATTCGCTATTACTACCAGGATTGAATCCATCCTTAAAAATCAGTTAACCATTTACATTATCTCTTGGCCCTGAATTACTCTCGAGTTGATGCGTTTAGTGGATCATCCTCCTCCAAAGTCTTTTGACGTCTTCTTGTCATTAATCATCTGTGCTCTGTTTTTCTTACCCTCAAGTCTGTACTATACTCTGCTAATGCTAAAATTAGTTAGATTGAAATTATTACCAAATTGGCATCGTTGTCAGGCCACATTTGTAAGTTGGACTTTCGTCCATATATACTTCATATGAGACGAGAAAGCTGACCTGCAACCCGATTACTGAGACTATGTCGGCCTGACACGACAAGACATAACCATGCAATGTATTGCAATTCGATGTCTTACCGGGCTGCTTTAAACTTTCCTTAATTGGCCCATAGTTGATAGTCTTTCAGTTTCAATTTACATGCTTTCACCAAATTAATAGGTATAGCTATTCTGTTCTCGTTAGGAGGAAGATAGTTTAAGCAAAGGTGGATGAAATCAGTTGGTTATTATTTTCAACATTGATTGAATACCTACTCATTTAAATCAGTATATTTCTAAATCGTTCACAATGTCTCAGTAGCACTATACCATCATATTTTCATTAAGTATTTGCCCACATTATCTCAAATTTAACATCGTCTGTTTACCTATTTAATCCATGAGGAACAAAGGCAGTTAGTTCTAAATTCAGGGTTTGATTAGCTAGTGGTGCCCATGTATTCTATTGAGCTTCATTTAGGTACGGACAGTGATGCTTCTGAAAGATTATCTATATACTTCACATTCTTAATGTTATTTTTCTATTCTAATCGCTTTTGTTTTTTCTCTGTTTACAGCAAAGAGAACGAGTGGCCTCCGTTGTTCATAGACAAGAGACTGTTGATTGCTTGAAGAAATTCAATGCTAGGCGTAAACTTAAAGTAAGTATTGTGGTTACTATTTACAATCTACTTCCTCAGATGTTGATTTTATTTTGCAGGGTAGCCGAGTGTTCATCCGCTGCAGGTCACATTGATCAAAAGAAATTTCAACTGAAATGAAATATTAAAGCAAATGTGCAATCTGTCAATACGTGACATATTCAATTGCCTTTCTGCTCATTTGGTGCATGTAAGTTTTAAAAGACAGGTTACCTCGTGAAATTGGGATTAATACATTTAAACATCAACAAAATCCAATGAAATTTGGACTTGAAATTGGCCATATAATGTTGCCTTATAGAAATCATGTAAATTTGTTTAATTGAGAACAACCCTCTTTGTGCCCAGTCATGAGAGTGCTTACATTTGCTGCAGGTTATCTCATTCTAAAAGCAGTGACTACTAAAAATAGCTTTGAAAAACTCATACTTTTTATTAATAAGTAATCTTTAAATGAATGACAAAAAATATGTCCAGATAGCCCTGGAACCACCTTTGTTCAATTTTTACAAATTTCCACCAGTTTATTGAAGTGAACTGTAACAAAATTTTGGCGCTCTCTTTTAGTTTAATCTGTTTCATTTCTTGAACTATTACTTCATCTTTCTTATTGTAATGAATGTCTCTGAGAATGGAGTAAAATTTTGATGCTGACTTTGCTCTCTCTATTTCCATAAATTTTACATAATTCCTGTGCTTAAATATAATGAAAGGATTCCTTTTTCAGTATTTCTAAGGAAATTTTTAAAGACTTTTAGTAGGCTACTACTAAAACTACTACTACTACTAGGCTACTACTGAGGTTGTTCTGAGTCAAGAACAGGAAAAATACCTGAAATATAGGAAAAAACTATACTTTTTCCTCCATGTGACATTAATCAGAAAATCATACTAACGGGTGTCCCTTTTCCAGGGTGCAATTTTGACGACAATGCTGGCAACGCGGAACTTCTCCAGTAAGTATGATGTTCATGGTAAGTACCTCAGGAGCCTCATCTCACATCGATACCTCAACTCTGTGTAAATTACATTCCCCGTAATTACTGCATGTCCGTAACGATGTTGTGGAAACTAGCCAATTTGGGAAACAAACAAAAGTTCAACATCAAACATCGTTGCTTCATTAGTTGAATCAATCAAGTAAAACTTTCGTGCCCACACAAAAAAGTAGGAATCTTTTTTCTATATATTTCCATGGGAGTAGCTGCTATAAATGGTTATCTTAAATGTAAATCGTATAGGAGCTAAAATGAATTTAAATACACATTATTAATATAGGTAAGGGATTTGAAAATGGGACTTGGAGAGCCTCGTAATGTATAATTATTTTAAACTAATAGCTGAGGCAAAAATGAAGAAAGTCATGTCCATTTGCTCATTAATTGTATTGAATAAAAGAATTGAAATTAAGGTACTTGTATATTTTAGGCGTAGGAGCTTGGCTCTTTAAACTTCATAACAAAACTGACTTTGATGCATCAAAAATGTAAAAATTAGAATCCTTGTTCCCACCTTCCCTCCCCTATCGGTGCTCATTCATTGTTTTCTCACGCTGACAGCATCCCCTTAAATTTTTTAACATTAGTGAATATTTTTCCCAGTTCAGCAAGGAATACCTAGTTCCATCATTTTGTCATTTTTAAAGCTAGAATCAGTGTGTAAATTCATTTAATTTGATAAAATTTGTTTTTCCTTTTTTTCCCCAAAACTGGAAGTAACCAAATAAACGCACTCACAATGATCATTAGTCCATACAAGAAATCAGTATTTTCAAGTTTCTGAACATTTTTCATTTTATCATTCATTCTTACAAAGAACTTTCTCTCAACTGTTTCAAGTAACTTCTCTAAATGTCATATTTAAGTCTCCCCTTTCTCTAATGATTCAGCATTTCAAATCATTTTCTCCACTCTTACGCGATGAAATGAAGTTCTAACATTATCAAATGACCTCACCATTGCTACTGGTGGCATCAAAAATTTTAGCTCAGCCCTTTCATATCACCATACTTGATATCTTTTAAATGAGATGCTCAGGGCTGAAAGGGCATACAGATCCATAGTGTTGCAACAATTGTAAATTGTATGTAATGCATTCATCAGGGGGTAAAATCGAGAGGCATACATCTTTATTCTCTCTGTAAAATAACTCCTCCATCACCTTTGATTCCTATGAATAAAAAATCCCATCCAATTTTCACCTCAACACTTTCTTAGATTTTTTTTTCCTTCTCTAAGAGTTCTTTAAAGGGGCATTATATATACAGTTTATTATTAGAAAGATTTTTAAGGAGTCATAATAAAAATATATATTTCTCCTTTGTCCTTATGTACCCTGTGAGCTGAGAAACCTTGAGATCGTTGATTTTTACAAATTCTGAACCCCGTGGGAAATAAGCTGGTGAAGCTTGTAGCAATTTGAATATTTACAAAATAAGATAGTTGAACTTTCTCTGAAAAGAAAAATCTTGAGGAAATATTTTAGTAGTACACTGTGTTTGATAATTGTGGTTGTGACGTGTTCTCGGATCTTGTGTTTTCCGAACCAGTCAATGTTATTTTTTACCAGTAGTCGTAGCGATCTCTCTTGGTTTCAACAATGGCCCCTTGTACAAACCCCAGTCTGTTGGTGTACACTGTAAAAACTTTAGTTTTGACACACTCATCATTCTTCTGACCTTCCTTTCTCAATTCTTGTCTTTCTGTGAATAGCTCTCTTTCTTCCTTTCCTTCCACTGTGTTTCTTTTTTTTTTGGGGGGGGGGGTGGAAGTATACCTGGCTAGAAGCCACAGTACCAATCGATGGTGAAGTAAGAAAACTCGTATCTGCATTCGTGTAGTGGGAACTTTCCCAACAAATATTTAAATAAAGGAAAACCAGCAGCATTCATTTTGGCCGTGCATACTTAAGCTAGAGAATCAGGGCACTTTGAAAATGGTCAAATTTACCATCCAGCAACGAACCTCCACTATTGCACACATGCTTAGAGCCTCAGTCAAAGGCATTGTCTGAACTGAATGATCAGGAAAACCTGAAAATGAAGGCACCAGTGTTATCTAGCCTTGACTCACTCTCCTATAGACTAATTTAGTGACTACATCCTTTGGGATACAATGCTATTTGATGGTTCCAGTGTAAATTGAAACTTAAGATCATTGTATTTAAGCCAGGGTGAGCAAATGTGTCCAAGTTCTTCTAGATATCAAAATGTTTGATCAATAAAAACCATAAAGAACCCTGCACAGACCTTATGGGAAATGGCTCTTTCTACAATCTGATGAAACTTGGATATGTTGCTCAGCTAGTCATTCTGATCAAAAGTACTCATGGGCCAAAAGAGATCCCACGAGCGGTTTTCAAGATATTCGCTGTTTGATGTGTGTACATTGAGGTTTTGCTGGCTGGACTATTGTGCGATGCTTCTTGTGCCCTTCCCTCCCAGTCCACTCCATCCTCTCTCCGCTTCCCTGCCACCCATACCCGAGGCTTGGACTCCGACGCTCACTGTGATAGGACCACCCGGTTCGGTGTCGGAGTCCAAGTCCCGGGTATGAGTGGCGGGGAAGCGGAGAGTGGCCAGAGTGGACTGGATGGTAAGGGCACAAGAAGCACCGCACAATAGTCTGGCCAGTGAAACCTCAATTTACGCACATAAAACGGTGAAAATCTTGAAAACCACTCGTGGGATCTCTTTCGGCCCATAAGAACTTTTGATCAGAGTGACTAGCTGAGCAACATATCCAAGTTCTATTAGATTGTAGATAGAGCCATTTCCCATAAGGTCTGTGCGGGGCTCTTCATTTATAATCTTTCAAGAGCTGACGAGTAATTAACTAACACCATAAATATTTGACATAGAATATAGACATAGCTTTATATTTTAGACGGTTAGCGTTGTGTTTTATGTTCTTTTTTCTCTCTCTCTCTCTCTCCCCTACTGGAACCACAAAAAATCAATGTGTAGAATATCATATAAGTGATGTAGGTAGCCACTAAATCTGTCTATTGCCTGTTAATTTTGACCATTTTTATAATATGACTGTCATCTGACCTCAGTGTGCTTTTACCTATTTTAAAAATATTCTCTCTAAGTATCGTTCAAAAATATCTATGAGTTTTCTTTTGCAAAAAGTAAAGCAAGAACGGAAATTTTGAAACACTGCAGTCATGATACAGGGCTCTTTAGTCTCAGCACTATATTAGACTCACATTGTATGCTCAGGTTTTGACTATATCCAACAGGCCAGTGCGACACCCTTGAAATACTCATTGAAATTTGTTGGATCCAAGTTACTTCCTTTGTAATTACCAAATAGTAGTAATGAGAATTAATTATTTTAATTTTGCAATAAGGAAGCTTTATTTCTGGCATGTGTTGTAAACAAAATCTTTGCCTCTAGTTTGCCTGTGCAAATAGATTCTGCCTGTACTTTAATGATTGAGCCACAAACTAGGGTACAGAAAGTTCCAAGAAGCGTACTGTTTGCTGCAATCTTGCGTTCTTACCTCATGCTATTTGTCGAAAAATGCCTCCTTCCACAGTGAAGTAAGCGATTTGCTTCACTTTTCAAGGTATTGAGAGGAGACAAAAACACAAAGGTCATCACTCTTAAAAATTTCCTCCTGACCCCAGATCTACCTACTTTTTCCTACAATCCTACCCCTTTGCATTTTTCGGCAATCGAGCATTTTTCACACCCTGGACCAGAAAAAGTGATTCCTTAAGGCAAAATTAAGTGTAATTTTGGATGTAACAATTGCTTGTTGTTTGTGGGTTATTTGTACCAGGATCCAGGTTCAGATGTTCACACGCTGCTTTGTGTCCAAAAAAACCATCATATATCTATACCAAACAATCAAACATTGAAATTACATTTTTCAGCTTTGATCTCTGTAGTGCAACTTTAATACAACTTAATACAGTGCAGGTTATGATGAATGTCTGTATTCTACCATAAAATGTAAAACTTCCCTCCAATTATTTTTATGTGATTACAACAATTTTTACTCTTCTTGCTGCACAAAATGAAATGGGTTTTGTTCCCTAAACTCTTAGTAATAATCGACCATCATCGAAACTAATGGAAAAAACAGATGTTCTATTCTTTACTCCGGAATTATTTATTTTCATCAATTTCTTTCCTCTGTTTTTCTCTCTTAATTCCATAATTGAAACCCCATCTCGAGAGCATCTTGAAGTTTGGCTCAAATCCTGCCTTTTACCCTACACTTTTACCATATCCATCACATAGTATTCAAACCTAAAAACATTTATGCCAGCAATTTTTTATTCACAACTAAAAAGGAAGGCATGGCCAGGTATATAAAGTAAAATCCTCAAAGACTGACAGACCGAGTCACATTTTTTATCAACAGCATAATCAGGTTTGTCATTTTTTAAAAATCACAGGTAAATCAAGAGAATTCAAACGGTCGGACATGAGAGGTAACATAATTCTGCGTTACAGCAAAACAAAATTCCCTGCAACGGAAGTGTAGTTGAGGTGGTTTAAATTTTGTGAATAACTTAAATATTTGTTGGCAACAGTCTGTTTAATTTTTCTCATTCACGTTGAATTCAATTTTGATTAGGTACAATCATTGAACATGAAGTTTTAGAAAACGGAGCTCTATCTTCGACTTAAGTCACCAATTTTTCTTGCAGATTGGTTGCTGCTTTTCATGATCAGGAAAAGGAACTGCATCTAATCGCAAGAATTTGTGTTTGGGATTTGGCCGTGTGCTAATTTTTCTTTTCTTTCATTTTTAGTTTTCTGCCCTGAATTTAAATATATCCCCAAAAATAGTTTAGTGGCCTTTTTAGCTGTTAATAGCCCCTGTCATAAAAGCGACACGTTTTTAACCCTTTCCTTCACACTGAAAATTTATGAGAAGTCATCAACCACAAAGTTCTAAGAATTTTAATTCAGAATATTCCTAATTTAAACAGTGTCACCTTGTTGTAAAATAGGTTTGGAAAGTGAAGTATTAAAAGTATGCATTTTATTACCTCTATCTCACATTTCATTTTTGTAGACTTTTAAAGGCACAACAAACTGCTTTTACAAGCGGTTCCATATATTTTCTACATTTTTCATTTCCACCTCCTAAATTATCCCTGTAATTTTAAAAATCGATTTTTGTGAATTACCTGTGTACATGCCTCAATCATTACCCGTGTTAGTAACAAAATTGGAGTACTCACCAGTATTTCTCTTGTTCCAATTTCCTTTTTAACCTCACTTCCTACCCTTTCGCAATTGACACTTCCACTTCTCTATTGCAAAAAGTATTCATACCTGCATCTACTGCAATTATGTATTCTCCTAATCCATCTGAATCTCATTTCTCTCTTTTAATTAGACAATGCATCAAAATCGTTTTTTATGCATCCGGACGATAAAAAAAACAAAACATTGTTAGGTACTTTAACATCAGTATTCTTTTTAAAATTTGCCAAAGAACATTATCGTGAATGTTAAAAATTAAGAAACCAACCATGCTCTCTTTGAGATAAGTACCAAAATTTTCGGCTTGACAGGTGAAAGCTCTTTTCTAAAAATGATTAAACAAACAACTAACTTGTTCTAAAGTTGTAGAAAGTAGGGAAAATCAAATTTACCATGGGCTCCTCCTAATATGTAGGTCAAAATATCAATTTTCCCGTAAATTGGTCGGTTGTGTTGATTACAGAATTTTCTTTTGATGGTTGCAACATTAAGATCAGTGAAATATGAATACGTCCATCTTAGTGCGAAGTTTCTACTTCCAGCATTGGAACTAGCATCATCACCTACTTCAGTTTCCAATCGTTTATTGTGAAAGATTCCAAGTGCGTCAAAATAGAGCCATTACTTGGCTGTGCACAGAAGACTTAGTCCAATGACTCCTAAAAGTCGAGTTTAAACTCCTGGCAGCTTATTTGACCTCAGCAGTTACAGAGATATCGTTCTTTTTAAGACATGGACAATACCATCATTATCTGGATCGTCCAAATCATAATTTCATTCTATTTAATTCCATGAATCAGTGATCAGTGTGGATTTCACGAAGCTAGACTGAGACAGATTTGAAAATTCTATCATAATCTTATAGCTTAAACCATTGAAACGTAGTTAACTTAAGTGACTCCTTTGCTTCATCCAAACCATGGTTTTTTAATAATTCATGCAAAGATTTAAAGATTTAGGGGGACCACCATCATCTAGTGACTAACATATTTGATCCCCTTGATTTTTTAAGGCCTGCTCTGTTTCCATTAAATTGAGCTCTGTCGTTGAGGCTCTTGAGGTACTACTATCATTTTCTTTGTATTTTTAGAACTTTTCTTTTTGATTATGAAAGCGTTTGAAATACGAGAGATGCTGTGCACCTATTCGTGTTCCGTGAAAGCTAAAGTTTAGCATTACTGGTGGATTGCAAAATAGCATTCACATTTCAGTGAATCTTTTTTTGTAAAATTTGTTTTCTCTTTTTTGATGCCAATTCTCTCTACCAGATACTTTTTTTCTTTTTCTATTTATGGTTAGCACTGCAAACCAAGCATTGCACGCACAAGTTTGAATTTATTTTTGAACGTAGATGAAGTGACTAAAATGAAATTAAATGACATTTCTGACAGCGTAAGAATTCTGATTATTGCCTTGTACATCATTTGTCGAACAGTCAAGAAAATTGATTGGGGTTTTTTTTTTGTTGTGCAGAGAAAAATCACCGGTTCCCCAAAACAAATTTTGGACATTGTTTTTTCAGCATTTCTTTGTTCTTATACTACAAGAAATCCTCCTTCTGTTCAAATAATGCCTTTGAGAGTAATAAAGATAAATTGAATAGAGGATTTTTTTCAGTATTGCCATCACAATAATCATTAATTAGTTATTGCATGCTCATTTATTTGAGATTTTTCAGTCATTTGTGTAGGTGGCTTTCAGTTTCTGCTGATGAAGATCTTAACTCCTTAAATTTGTGCTTAGTGAGCCCAACCAATCATTGTAATTCAAGGGATTTTTGCAAGATTGAGCTGTTTTCTTTCACTTTGAAAAATTTGTTTTTCTCAATTTTAAAAAAAAATTATCAATCACACAAAAAGTATGGAACATCTCCCAGTAATTTTCAATGCATAAAAATTCACTCTTTTTTGTTCTTGAGGTGTGTGTGTCCATTTTTAGTATCATGATGTTTCACACACGTAGCCGAGGAAACATGCAGTCCTAACGTTTTGAAGTGTTTAAGTTCAAGATTTTACCTAAAATGTCTACAAGGTTTAAAGTGTACTATGGAAGTGAGATTAGTCTGCCAGTCAGAAAAACAGTTCATTTTACATTTTATTAATTTTGTGCTGTTTCTCTCTTTTTTTACCCTGTTTTCTCGCAAATTTTGTGGTGCTGTTCACTTGACCAACTCTATCCATCCTCTAATCAGAATGTGGTAAGCGTCGACGACTGGTCAGTGTTTTTTGTTTTTGAGTTTTGTTTGCGCATTGGTGATTAACGCGTGTTCAGCTTCCAATTAACATCTACCCTCTGCGTGGAGCTCTTGTTTCTTGTTTGCAGTGCCTAAATTCTGTTGGCCGGGAATTGTTTGCAATCTGCGGCCGTTTGTGTACCTTCACTAAATTTAACCGTCTGTAGGAAAAAGGAAACTCAATGCAAATGATGAACTCAAAATTGAGATTTTGGTACCATTGCTGTAAAGTTTACGACAGTTTTGGCTCATATAATTCTCAAAAATGTCTAACTGAAAGGGAATTATGACTATCTCAAATTGCCAATTTAATGCTAAGAATATGCCACTATAAATTTTAAGCCGCTTAAACAAAGCTTAAAATTTGTCCAATTTAATTGCAACTGCTCGTCTCCTGTTAGCACCAAAACTAATTAATCCGTTTGCATATCATTTGGAATACTAGAGGGTATTTTCTGTCAAAAATTCAAATCCTCATTTTTTTACGGGACTTAGCTGAAATCACTCCCCTGAAAAATTTGTGCAGTTGCTCGGAGATTGCTTCTTTTAATGGGAATTGGAGGTTCTTGTTGTTTAATATTTTGAACTTTTGATGGCTTTTGGCATTATACACTATCTGTAAATAAAAATCAACTCGCAAACATCATTTTTGTGAAGCAGTATTTACGCCAATTTTAACCTAGTTTGGAAGTTATGTCGACTCAATTTGTAGACAACTGCCACTAACAAGATTTGGGCATAGAATGAAAGACATTCGTTCAATTCCTTTTGTTTGGAGCATTACTTAGTTTCAATTTACAAAACTTTTGGATCTAAGTACCAGTGATTGAAAGTCATCCGAACATTGTTTTTAAAAGACTATCCATCATAGCATCATTGTTGCCCTGTTTTTTATTTTTATTTTAATTGGAAGTCGGTCATTGTTTGTCCTCTCATAGTTACAGTTATTTTAGAATTTTGAATGCTTTGAAATCCCTCCAAGAATTCAATCATGAATCGTTCAACAATTAGTTTTCTTTCGTGAGGAAAGCTTTCAAAAGTTAACCCATTAATGGTGCGTTCTTAGAAAATTTTACTGGAGAAGTTGAGTCCTTTTTGTGTGATTGATTTTTTAATTTAACCGTAAGTTAAGTACCTCATCATTACACAAACTTTTCCACTTCTGTTTGTTAACTAATTTACAGATTATACAAATTGTCATAATTTCTGATGCGTTCGGTATCTTCAGCTGTTCCACCCCCTTTTCGAAAATGCAAAACATTTCCCTTAAAAGAAATTTCAAACCTTGAGACTAACATAATTTACATGTAAATCACCTAACAAACAGCCTCTAACCTGTTCTGTGCTTTATGCTTTTGCTTGACAATTTTTATTTTTTTTTTTATTTTTATAGTTTTTTTTTTTTTTTTTTTTTTTTTTTTTTTTGCGCCCTCTCCACTTCACATCTTTTCAAATTTACTTGCAAATTTTTAAGTTGATCTATTTCAACCACTGATTTTAGTTACAAATCTCAGAAATATGCTTTTGCATTGAAAACCTGACGAGTCAAAATTTTGATGTAGTCAGAAAATTATTAGCTTGGACATTCTGAACCAATTACTCTTTATGGTTATTTTTAAAACTACTTCTTTTTTATACAAGTGAATTTTATCCATGCAATGTACTGTAAAGAATTAATTCTATCAGTTTTGAATACAAATCAGAGAAATTCTCTCTCCAATTTTTTCATAAATTTAAGGTGTGAAAAGGATTGGAGCCAACTTTTACAATCATGCTAACTGACATTTTTTCCCAACAATTCAAGGGATGTCATGAGCTTCTAAATTTTTTATAGAATATTGATGAAGGGGAAATTTTTCCAATTTCTTCTTCTTCTTCTTCTTCTTCTTCTTCTTTTATAAACCATTCTGGGCTATTAATGATATCATTACTCTCTATCACAGGAGTTTTCTCTAGCAGAACGTTTTACCCCTGAAGATTTCTACAAAAACCATATGATGATTTAAAGTTGATTCGCAAAATCTTCTGCATGAGGTTATGTGAAACGTAGGAAAGGGAACTGATAGGATTTGTTGGTTTTATATTTCATTGATTAATTTAATTATTTTTTTTTTAATTAACATCATTTCTGTAAAAAATTCATATTCCTAAAGAATATTTTATCAAGGCAAAATCTTTCAGGCTTTTTATGCTAAAATTTTTCAGAGACCTAATGTTTTAAAGGTGTGTTTAACCTCATAAAGCTTTAGGTTGGGCAAACCTAATGTTTTAAACTTATTAAAGAAAACTACCTGTGTTCTTAAGAGATCTATTTTAATTCATACAAATATTTTTGAATACATTTGTGGTCTTTGATAGGCAAATAGGATTTAATCCAAAAAAATTCTTTGAGTTTTTAATCATATTTTCTTGCAGTGCTAACTTTAAAATTAATGAACATTCAACTCAATTCTCACGTTTCTGAAGTTTTAATTGCAAGCTTTTTTTTAATGGACAGTTTGAAAAACCGTTAAGGAAGTCCAAGAATGATTTGCTGATTTTTGTCAGTTACTTGAGGAAATAAGCAAAATTTTTACAGAGCTCTTAGATGTAATTGAAAAAAAAAAAAAAACAGGAAAAAAAACTGAACTGAAAATAAAAAAATGTAATTAAAAAAGTACATGTTAGGACTGATCTAGAGTTTTAAAAAAATGAACTATTTTGAGGGGAAAGAGTGTGGCTAACGTTTTATTCCACCACCATCATCTTGTCACAAAATAATTATTTTTACACCCTTTATGGTGATATGAGCCGATATTATGCCTGCATATTGTCCTATAAATTTTAAACTATAAGTATTTAATGCTACAATTGTATTTCGACCCATTTATTCATTTTTGCTTCCTCGAGAAGTTAAAGTTTTTTCTCTGTGGTGCCCCACAAATCAAAGTCTGGCTTCTGCCTCCAAAAAAATTCAACCCAGTTCAAGAAATTTCTGTTCGTATACACAGTTGTTACTTTAATGCACTACCTCACATGCATTTTAAGTGTGGGCCTGTTTTAAGAGTTAATCCTTTTTTGAAAATTTCTTCAATTCTGAACGTACAAAGCACATTTGTTCCGCCGCTTTTACTCTTGCTTCATGCTTGGAATGAAAATTTTAATGAAACTCTAATGAACGGTGAACTTGGTAGATCTTGATCATTACTTTTAACACTGTTTTTGCACCATGAATAGAATTTGTTTCACTTTCATGTTTTTGCTTTCTCTCAATGTTTTGGAAATACACGGTTTCAAATATTTTCAGGGATTAGATTAAATGCCAGAAATATCTAAAAAATATACTCAAATATTTTTTTTTTTTTATTTGAACAGTTGCCTAAAAAAATATTCCTTTACAGATGCCCTATTTGTTTGTAAATTACTTTCTAACCCAACCCATGAGGAGGGGATTCTGTTGTCTCGATACTCTCTCAGTGACCGAGCAGAATTATATCCTATGAGAATTTTTGCAATATTCCCTCATAGTGTGCCTCTAAAATTTTGGCACATAAGTAGGTGATTTATTATTGAATAACATTCCTGGCAATATAATTGCCCGGTGAAGGGGTTGATAACTTTGAGCTCTATTAGAATTCAGTTTTCCCATTCATCAAAAGTACAAACTAAATATATCTAGAGATGAGGCTTTATATGTAACGATGGCGGATGTAAAAAATTACCTTTTCGAAACACGCTTAAAACTGTTTTGTTCACACAAAAATTTAATATGTTTGGCTCTGGCATAATGTACAGATCTCGAAGATCACATCTCAAGTATTTTCTCAAAATTTTCTCGATGCCATAACAGTTTTTTTAATGTGTTTCGAAAAGGTAATTTTTCACATCCGCCATTGTTACATATAAGTCGTCAGATGTCTCACGAGAAGTTTTGTGACAATATTCGACCACCTTTAGCAATTTTCCATGGCATCTCAAAGGTTAGCAGTTGATAATGTTCCAACGTAGGAAGGCAAAGAGAGGCCAGAAACTACATGTATAACTGATCCACCATCAGTTTTCAATTCATCTCTGTCATGTGGATCGTGGATTTTTCTCCTCCTGCTTGGTTTTCTCATGCTAACTTTTTTTTCAAAATGTTTTGAACCGGGCATCAAACTCTATAATAATAATAATTGTATAATAATAATGTAGCTAATAATTTGTATCTTGACCTGAAGAATTGACACCAAAAATCATCTCACTGAAAGTGGTTGTTTGCAAGGTAACTGAAACGGAGGTATGCTCTTGCCGACCCCTTTGCCTGAAACGCAGCTTTTTGTCCCCGCTATTAAAGCTGCCACACGAGATTTGAATTTCAACAAATGAAAAAGCAGCCACCTCACCAAAAGCAAATGCATTTTCTTTCTTAACAAATTTGCTTGCACTGAATTTGTTCATTTTGATCAACAGCAGATGGTCATTTTTGTTTTCGGCCAAGACTGCAAAGTTTTTGAAATTTAAATCTTGCGCCATCGCTCTGGTAATGGGGACTAAAAGCTGCGCTTCGGCCAAAGTCATTGTCAAGAGCATACCCACGTTTCTCGTACCAAGGGTTGTATGCTCTTTGAAGCATAATGATTCGATTGTAGATAAATCAATCGACAATTTCTGGATTTTAAGTAATTTTTTCGAAAATCCCTGATAGTTCCATCATGCTGCGGTGCATCAGATTTCCCTCAATTCAATTTGATCAAGGAATAATTAGAAGTAACTCCAAAATTGCATCCTCAATCTTGAATGAAAACCGCAAATTGTTAAATTTAACAATTTGCAATTCTCACTAGGAACAAACCACCAAAGTTATTTCAAAGTATTTTCCACTCAAATTGTAAATATGACTACAACAATATGATGTGACCGCCAGAGATTCTCTGAAAAATGTCCTTTGAAATCCAGATATTTTTGATCAATCGATCGATCGCTGAATGTTCTCATGAGTAGGTACCTACTACAGATCCACTTTAACCCTGGATGCATTGCTCATAAACTTCGACAGCAGCTTTAACACAGCCTTGAAACCTTTTTGAGGATTAAATTGGTGACTTCTGCTCCTCTGTGGAGTGATCAAGTTTAAATGGTGTGGTTCTAATTTCTCTTGCACCAATCATCCTTTTCTTGTAATTGCAAACTGATATCCCTTCGCTTGTCTCTCCTTAGGCCGAAGCATTATCACTAAGAAAGGGGACGGATCTCAAGTCAAAGAATCAACTGATAGCAGTACAACGTTAGAGGACGATGACTTAAAAGGTAAGTCATTACTCACACCCTCCACCTGAAGGCACACTTTATATGCTGCCCACCGAGTTTTGAATTTGAAATTAAGCTGCATGTAACCATTTTTGGTTTTCTGAAAACCATGAAAGAAATTTACTATGTAAATTACCCAAGAATTCGTGCTGTCTTTGTTCAGTTACTGTTCCATCTGATAGACATTCTTTCGTGAATTAAATTATTTTTAAATATTCTGAACCTTATTCCTCACCTACGAAGAAGGAATCACCTAAGGAAAAGTTCTAGCGAGGAGGCTTCGTATCCTCCCCAGCTACAATCTTGCTGTGAGGAAGCGCCGGATTAAACGTTTTAGGGATTGCATCATCTTAGCTGTCAGGCAGCGTGCTTGAAATTAGGCTTTTAAATTAGTCAATGATTAATATAAAATAACGATTTGCAAATTTTTAAGTCAGGTCGGTGCAGTGTCCAAATTGAAGTATTCACTATAAGACTAACGCCTAGAGACTGGCAGTTGTCAGAAATTTTTTTTTTGGAAACTGAAGCACATAGTAGCCTCTTGCTGGAAAACACCTGATCAAAGTGTAACAATTACTTTCGTGGTCAAACATTTTTGCCGAGCATAAAACTACCTTCTTGATATTATTTTATTCCCCAGATAATCAAGTACTACCGTCTTAGTTCACTAAAATTCATTTTTCAATGCTATTGTCCTAAAACAATGACCCCAAACTCAAGATTTAGGTACCTCAATATGTTGCATTATTCAACTCGTTTTTCACTCGTGTGTCACCTTAAATATAATCATTTTGGTAATTCACAGCTGAGAGTCCTCAAATATGCACTACAATAGTACTTACTTTACAGTGTGATTTGCATTAACTTAATAAAGTTAGTCAACTTCGAGATTCTATCCCTCCCCCCCCCCCCCCCCCCCNAACTTAGTGATTCCAGTGCCTTGCTCTTTTACTTGAACTATCCCAAGATAAGTTTACACTTGTCAATCTTTTTTTTATATGTAAGGAATAGATCTTTCCAGTCAAGTGAATAATTATTTATTACTCCCACAAGTAGAACTGTAAGACCTTTCTATTTCTGTGGAATATTGGTGAATTTGCATCCACCATAAAAATGTAGTTTCATTGTTTGGTTTTCGGTAATACAAGACTTTCTAACTTTGTAAATATGTTATGCTCCTTTTTCTCTCATGAACCTCTCTCCTCTGCTTTGTAAATATTCCTCGTTTCTGAAACATATTTTCACTCTCCCCATGAGAAAATTTCCATGTAAATAATGAGAAATGAAAACCTGCCATGTCCGATTTTAGCAGCCAACAATTTGCACTTGTGTCATGTTAGTTGAATTATTCCATGTGTCTTTTTTTATTATCTTTTTTAAATATGCTTTATTCAATCGTTTAGTGACTTTTGTTTAGTTTTTCTCAGTCTTCTTTTTTTTATGGCAATTTTTGGATTTGCATCAATCGCAACCAAAATTAGAATTCAATTTCTAAATATTTTTACCATTGTTATCAGAATGGCTACCCGCCCAACACGAAATATTGCAGCAATATTGCAGCAATATTGTCAATATTGAAACAATATTGTCATGTAAATATTTCCTTAAATACACTGCAGAAATATGTTGACAATATTGCTAAAATATTTCATGACAATATTGTAACAATATATTTATAAAAATGTTTTAAATATATTTACAAAATATATTTATGTAATTACTTTTAAAACAGTTTGTAAAATATATTTACAAAATATTTTAAAATTATTTTAAAAATATTAGTTTAAAAATATTTGTTTAATATTATGTTAAAAATATTTTATAAATATTTTTGTAATATTTGAAAATTAATTGCTAAAATGGCAAAAAATGGTTTGCGATTTCTGCAATTTGCTTTTTTTGCTAAAATGCCCACCCTCGTGGCGAGAACGACAAAACAATTTGCAAAAGTGGTAATTTTATTGTGCGAAAATGGCACTATACTTTTGCGAAATTAACATTACTAGTTTATGCTATTATGGCTAAAATGTTTGCTAGATTTTCAAAATGTTTGCCAAATTAGCGTATGGTTTTGCTCTGTTTACCAATTATTTTGCGGAACTTACTAAAATCAATCGCTAGAAAAAAGAAAGGGGGGGGGGAAGAAAAGACAAAAAGAAGGGAAAAAAATAAATAACATAACATAAATACATCGACATAAATTCAAACTAGGAAAAAGCTCAAATAATTAAAACTGGAAAAAGACGCAATTATAAAAAACAGTAATTTGGTAAAGAAAAAAATGAGAGAGAGTTAAAAAAACGAAAATTTGTAATACATGAATAGGAATATGTTGAGTACAATTAATAAAGAATTTGAAACACAAATTACAGGATGAAATAAAAAATAATAAATAAATAATAAATAATAAATTCTGGTAAAATATTATAAGAATCCGTCAATAAACAAACATATTACGGACTCAGAGGCCTGCGATAGTTAAGAGATTGAATTTACGGGCCCATCTACATCAAGCCTGGCTGGTCTGGTGGTAAAGTACTGGACCTCGGATATCAACTCCACCCCGAGGCGTGGGTTCTAATCCCGACTAGGACGGCGCGGATTTTAAGGTCAGTAACAACTCTACGATCCACAACCTGGACGCATGTGTACATTAGAAAGAAAATTAGTACCAAAGACGTCTCCTAGAGTGCGCGCACACGGATATGGAATATGATAACCTCATCGCAAGTAAATATTTTTAAATTATATTATCAATATTACCTTGACAATATTGCTGCAATATTGTCAGGGGGGCGGACAACAAACTATTGCAGCAATATTATTTCGATATTGTTAAAATATTGTTAAAATGTTTTTGACAATATTTCAGCAATATTTTTAAAATATTTCCGTGTTGGGCGGGTAAGTGCTAAATCAGCTAATGTCCAATGGATATTGCATGGAATTTGGCCATCATGGTATGAAGCCATTCACTCGGATATCAACTGAATTTTCTCTCCTCTGCATTGTAATTTTTAGTGGCTCTTAACGCATCAAATTACTTTTCCCAAATTGCGTGGGGCATTTTTAATCACTACTTAGAGGCTGATTAATTTTCCCACAGCATGCACAGAGGTAATAGAGACCCATCATAATATGTTTTCACAGTTGGCTCATGACAAAAATTCAAAGTAGTAACACTTTTTTCTCTCCAAGCAATTCCCTCCTTTCAAGCATCTGAAGCGCTTATATCCCTAAGTTTGCTTACCGTTATTTTATTCATAAAATGATCACTTCCTCTTATTTGTGTTTGGACTGTTTATTTAAATTTGAATCTAATTAATTTAGTATGTCCCGAGAACCTCTTTGATATATCATGTCGAAAAAATTTGATGTACTGTAGAAATGGGATACAGATTTTCAGGTTTAGACAAGTCCTGTCCTTAGTGATCAACAAAATTTAGACCTCGAAAGTTTAAAATCGTTGAGAGGTTTCTCTATCTAAGAGACCATTTTTATGCTCCCTTAAAATTTTAGAGGTTCAACCTTTCAGCCTCCTCATGCTTAACATGGGCCGATTATAACTAAAAATGTTCATGTCGCAACCTCCTATTTTATCAGGCACCCCATTGCACTAAATGGGCCTGTTGCATGCAAGAGATACAGCCGTGCAAATAGACTATTTAGAGGTTAAATGACACAAAAATTACGATGGTCACATTAAAAAAGTCTGAAATACACTCTTTACTGCGCAATTTGCGTTATTAGGAACGCGCTTTTTCAAATTTCCCGCGTCTGGTGGCAGTTTCCTAACGGAAACAATTAACGGCAATTCGCGGCTATTTCCGGTCAACTAAAACTGACGACATAGGTAACCTAAAAATCGGAGCTCGTGATATCGTGAAGTGAAATGTTGAAGGATTGCGTTGGATATTTAAAAGTTGATCGATTTGGTTATCGCATAAACGTATATGGACTACTATAAGAGATCACGTTGGGTTTGTAAACAAACTGAAGGAAAAAATAACAACAACAATAACGACTCGGCATCTTCCGGAAATCACCGAGCCCGCCATTTGCTCGTTTCCGGTGATTCGTAAACTGCCCCCAGACGCGGGAAATTTGAAAAAGCGCGTTCCTAACAACGCAAATTGCGCAGTAAGGAGTGTATTTCAGACTGTTTTAATGTGACCATCGTAATTTTCGTGTCATTTAACCTCTAAAAAGTCTATTTGCGCGGCTGTATCTCTTGCATGCAACAGGCCCATTTCTTACTGTCCAGCCAAAGCTCCCATCTGTTGCCATTTCAAAATAACAGCCTAATCTGGTCAAAATCTCAACGAACCCGCTGTTTTTCACTTGAGATATTCCAGCTTTTTAAAATTTCTGGGACAGACTTTGTTCTCCTTGCATATTTTTATCACTGAGTAGGTTCACCTTAACCTTAATTAAACCTAAATTTATAGATAGGCCTTTCAACACACCTTAAATTTTAAACGATGCCGAATATATCGTAGTTACGTAAGCTACTCGGAGGGGGGACTGAATTGCAGCTTGTACAGAACTTAAATAATCGCTGCACTTTGTTTGAATTCTGCTGAGAATTTATATTTATTCATTTATTTATTAATTTTTTTTAAACAGAGATAACCTCTCTATGTAGCATTTTCAGATTAGCCTAATTTGCTAAAAAGTGATCTTTATTTTCATCATTGGGAGCTCCTCCATAGACTTCTTAGTTAGAACCTGATCACAATTAAGGTAGCCGTTATTTTCCAACGTTTAAAAAGGAAGGAAATCTGATATTTTTCAAATTAATTTTTCACAAGCTTGCAAAAAGTTTTAAATGCTTCTGGATAGATTAGGGACTAACAATTAATTCGATATTTCTAAAATACTCCTCAGAGGTGGTAGAAATTTCTTCTTGGATGGATATAGTTTCTTTGAATCTGCATCTCAATTGTCTCATCCGAATGCAAAGTTACTCAGCTTGTGATGAGTTTGGAAATTGAGAGTAA